CTTGATTTGACCAAAAAATTCGCTAAAAACATCTTTGATTATTGTCTAATACATTTTTTATGCACAAACGAATATATAAACCATCAGTAATAGTATCAATGGCTGGCTCTAACTTTAACATAAAAATCAAAAATAAAATTAACTTTAACATAAAAGATATCAGTAGAAATCACTCACAACAACTTATACGATAAAATGAACAAACCCTAAAATATGTCAGCTGAAGACACATTTGCAGAAAACCATCGGGTGATACTTTCAATTTCTTGATCAAACCTTTACCGAATTCAGTCCACACCAACAGCGCCATTTCTACGTCTTCGATTAACGTTGTTGCCACTTTGAGACTATTATTCATGATCGTCTATAACTTTTTTATATTAAAGATAACAATAATGTTAATGATAAATAACAGTAACAGATGATTACCAACGCTATTATCGCTACCTACGCGGAAAAAAGAATGCCAAGGAAGGATGTATGTGATATTAGTGATATTGGTGATAACAGAGAGGCTTAAACTCGTAATGAGTTTGATTTGCCGATTAAATGAATTACCTAGATAACAGATATAAGCCAAATCATAGCCTGCTGGCTCAGGCTCACAACATCAATGATATTGGTTGTAACAGAGAGGCATAAACTCGTAATGAGTTTGATTTGCTGATTAAGTAACCCTCCCAATATGCCAATAATATATCAACATTAAAATGATAACAGCAATAATAAATCTCAACAAAATCAAAAGATAACCTGGAGTTCATCATTCAAAATCCATCTCAATCGCTCCGGTTTTGCCACTTGGTTTGGTTGCCCAATAGTGTTCCCATGCTCATCGTAACCTTGCTGGCAAAGATCCGTGATCAGTACGTACTCCATAAAGTGTGCGATTATTGGTGCGTCACCCCTACAAATTAATATTCCTCATTCCGAATAACTATCATTTCACTTTATCAATTTACACTAATTTAAGAAACTGCCGGAATATTATAGATAAGGCAGCCATCTCAGTCGCTCGTGAAATTATCATAAGTTATCATAGGACAACATCAATCAATCGTTGATAAATGCTGCCTATAAGTGATGTAATCACTTATTTTGTAGTACATTATATTAGGCAACGCAGTCCAAGCCTAGACCAAGCGCAAGTTAATTTCTAACCCAACAAACCCGGCAATGCAACGAAGCCTAATTGTAAGCATAACTTCAGACTGACATCTGCCAAAAGCACAAATTTGACAGTGCTTATGTTAGGTTAAAACTCGTCGAGTTTGAATTTAAAAAAGAGATTACAAATGGTTTTAGCATGTGTTTTTTTAACGCA